TTTTGAGACAGAGTCTCACTTTGTCACCCAGTAGAGTCCCATGGTGTCAAAGCTCACAGTAACCTCAAACTCTTGGGCTCAAGTGATCATCTTGCTTCAGCCTCCCAAGTAGCTGGGACTGTGGGTGCCCACAACAATGCCCAGCTATTTTTTAGAGATGGGGTCACACTCTTGCTCAGGCTGTTCTCCAACTGGCAAGCTCAAGCAATATACCTGCCTCAGCCTCATAAATTGCTAGATTATAGGCGTGAGCCACCAGGCCCGGCTTCTTTCTTTTTTTTGATACTAGTCAACAGAAGAGAAACAGATTTTCTTGATAGTCCCCAAGACTGAGAGGTTTGCAGCGGTTCTCCACCTGTGGGTTGCGACCCGTTTGGACTGTATCAAAGGTTTACAACATTAGGAAGGTTGAGAACCACTGTTCTAGCACGTCAGTATGGTATTCAGCTCTGTGTAATGTCAGAACACAGCAACACCTGCAGTATCTTTAAGGGTCAGCAAGTGGGGTCCCTCCACAGCAACAGTTCTAAGCTACTGTGTGCCTGCTCGCAGAGCTGTCGCCTTCCCTCCCTGAGGTCAGTGGTCTCAAGCCGTTGCCTGACTGTACAGGTGCAGCACCCAGCCACAGTGAGATCTCACCACCACACCACTGGGTAAACACCTCTCTTTTGATGGGCACAGAAATGGTTTCTGAGGGTTAAGCTACAGTCCCGACTTGACATCTAGATCTCTCTGTTCTTCTATTAAAGTGAGGACACACAGAATGTGTCTCCAGGATACTTCCTTCCTTCCATTTTCCCATCTTCCCCTGTTGCTTACAGAAAAATCAGATGCAAAACTTATTGGGTCTATGTCTAAAAAAATGGTAAAGTGGGAGGATTCTCTTATGAGCAAAGGTTTTATGGCAACGACTCTGTCTACTGGACTCCCCCCACTTTTGGGTCCCTTCATGATTCCTGGTCATTCTAAATAAATCAGGTGCCCACACATTAAAACATGAACTAAGGCTCCGCGCCTGTGGCTCAAGTGGCTAAGGTGCCAGCCAGATACTCCTAAGGTGGCGGGTTCGAATCCAGCCCGGCCCGCCAAACAACAATGACGGCTGCAACCAAAAAATAGCCGGGCGTTGTGGCGGGCGCCTGTGGTCCCAGCTACTTGGGAG